TGGGCTATACAGGGTATGTGAGGGATAGGGGTGATGGATATATTTAGAGATATGGGTGAAGATGGGGATATGTCTGACTGGGGGGATATAGGGGCTGTAATGTGTGTTGCAGGCATAGGAACAGTTTATGTGGGCCTGGCAGGGGGAAGACTGTCCAATTTAATGGGTGCTTTTCCTGACCTGAATGTAACTTGTGGCAACACCCGCGAGAGCACATCCCTGGCAGTAGAAAGAACTGGCCTGTGAAGGAGGTATTTGATGTCCTTATGGCAAGTTGATCAATGTTGTGCATGTGTACATCCATTTTTGTCATTCCATTTTTTATTCATATAAGAAGTTAGTTTAATAACCTGCTATAATTGCCTGCCACTATTCTAGAACTATAATAAAAAAAACAAAAAAGTTCACACAATTATATTATATTTATCGTTTTTTGCTTAATAAACTTTACAAAGCTCATGAGTTCAATCTTGTTCAAGGAATCAGTAATAATCCAATCCTCTACTGTAGCTAAAAAGAGAAAGGGCAGTAATGATTTTGCTATTAACATATTGAAAAACAAAGTATCCAAGCAATTATATAAATAACTTACAGTATTCTGAGGAGATTGCTTACGGGACAAAAAACTAAATATAAGTACAAAATTAATTATTTCTGGGATGGTGGACAGAGGCACTTATCAAACTTTATTGAACTTCTAGTAAGTTTAAAATCAATGTCACCTTGAGATAGAGGCCTGTTAACACCTGGAATTAAAATGGGACATTGTAACGAAGCATGAAATAATAATAATAATAATAATAATAATAATAATTGTGAACATGAAATAATGAGAGTGCAAACCAAGCATAGCCTCTATAGTAAAACAAAAAACAATATTTTATATAAAATGTAAATAGTCATGATTTTAAAATGAATTCTAATTTAATGCCAAAATAGACAAATTTAAATAATAGCTGGCTTTGGCACTTCACACTTGTGAAATATGAGTATCCCAGTGTGCATTAGACACTGCAAATAATGTATATCAAAGACAATTTTTTTTAACTGTTTTATTTGGATCTACTGATATTACTATGGATTAATTGACAATAAATTATCATGGGTGTCTTTGTACTGCATAGACCACTGGCACCCAAAAGGTTAATATGAATATAGAAATATGTATAAAGAAATAGAAACATCTTTCAGCTGATCATGCTGATCCTGAAGAAAGTCTAGACTGAAACATTGATCATTTTAAATTGACCCAATAAAGAAGTGTTTTTATGGAAGAACGTGATATTCTGGATATTAAGCAAAAGTGTGCACCCGGCATCAAGTTGCAAGTTTGGCCTGATTGCAAGGAATTTCATTATTATATATATATATATATATATACAGTGGGACCTCGGTTTACGAATTCAATGCGTTCTCCGGGACATTCCTTATTGCGAAAAATCTGTTAACCAAAACGCGGTTTCCCTTAGGAATGCATTGAAAACCAATTAATCCATTCTGGAGGTCAGAAAAAAAGTCAAAATGAGCTGGCATGGAAACCAACCCACAATGCAGAACACACAGTAAAAGCCATGCAAACAACGAAGCTCAGCTCCCTACTTTTCCACAGCCGGAGAAATACACCAAAAAGTCCCTAAACAACTCCAAAGAATTTCCAGAATGGCTCCAACACTCGATGCAAAAGCCACTCCAACACCTCCACACTCAACGCCAAGTGCTACCCACAGGCTCCAGCATGCAAGGGGCGGTGCTATAAACCTCCCAGGTGCAATGCATCCTGGGGAAACGTGCTTTATATTGCGGGGGAAAAAAATTGTAAACCAAGGCATTATTTTCAATGGATTTTCATTTGTAAACCGAAAATTATGTTAACTGGGGCATTTGTAAACCGAGGTCCCACTGTATAATATATATTTGTGTAAGGGGCAAAATAGCCGTATATGGAGTAAGGATCCAGCATAAGCATAGGATAGTGTAAAGGGAGCAAGTCGGTTGTGGTGTGCCGATACCGACGATACGGTAGGCCTGTAAATAAAGAGGGCCCACCAAGGAGTAAGAAAGTAAAGTAAATGGAAAGAAAAGAGAAAGTGTTGAAATGAGGAGTGGGTGGGAGGGTCATTCTGATGCTGACCTCAAGCGATATGAGTCAGGTAAGGGGTGTCCCTTATATAGGGGAGTGAATTAATTTAAGCCCCTCCCACAAATACAGGCAAAACTGCCTTAATACTTGTGTAAGGGGCAAAATAGCCGTATATGGAGTAAGGATCCAGCATAAGCTTAGGATAGTGTAAAGGGAGCAAGTCGGTTGTGGTGTGCCGATACCGACGATACGGTAGGCCTGTAAATAAAGAGGGCAAAAATGAATAATCAAAGATTTAATACAGTCAACAAATATATACAAATTAACCAGACATTTCCTTAAATGCATTATATGATATTCATCTCACCTTTGTTTGCCATTTCTATACACTCAAACACATTTCTGTTCTCTTTTTCTAGGTCAGTAGTGGTTTCTGGAGAAAACAGAAGACAAGTTAAACAACAGTTTACACATATTATACGCTCACTAACACTGTCGCTTTAAATCAGATACAATGATAATAATTTTGACTTACAACCAAAGAGAATCACGAGAGATTCTAACAATGTATAAAACACTACTTAATATTACATCTTAATAGGACAGATGTACATATATTTTTTTTACGACCATTATTTGCATTGATATAGTTCCAAAATATGCCACACTTGTCAAATGTCCCACTTCTATAAGTGTCAATAAGTAATTGAAATTCAAAATATTCACAAAGTCTAGAGGTGAATAAGGTCTTGTTCAAACAATCTGTGAGGAAGGCGTAAAGAAACACAAGAGGAAACACAGCATCTTAGAGGGTAGGAGGGACTGATGGATAAGATGCTTGTGTAAAAATAAACTAGTGAAAGTCGTGTGTGCAGGTGTAGAACTACTGAAGGTTCAGCAGGTGCAATGTCACTGGGACCCACCAGAGTTTAGCGCCATCTATCTGGGAGGGAGAGCAGTGAAGGCACCAGCAGAGGTAAGAGCACATACATGTTTCTTATTATCAGACAAATTCCCATGAGCAGTAGAAAGCAGGAGTCAGTTACTGCTTCCATCTAGCCAGCCCCTTCTCACTCTGGAATAGAGGCTGCCTTACTTGTGTTCCTTGTGGATGAAGGGGAATAAAACAGTTTTAGCCTGCTCTGAGTTTAACCTGGGTTCTGCAACAAAGGAAGAAGCCCTCCCTGTGGTGTCTGAGTGAATTAACCTGTCTGTCAGGAGAAAGGGAAGAAGATTGGGGCTTGATTCCTGGCTGGGAAGAGTGGTAAGGGCTGTGTGCTAACTTGGTACTTTCTTAAACAACTTTTATTTATCTGCAACATTTCAAAACGTGGTGTATCTGTGAAATAACATGGTGTTGGATATACTGCATGAGGGTTGTCTGTGAACTGCATATTATGTCTCTGTGTGTTTGGGAGCTGCACGGAGTGAGTCTGTGAGGTGCATGGTGTGTGAATGTGTGTCTAAACTACATGTTGTGTGTGTCTGAGTCACTGGCAAGTGCCCTAGTGCACCATGAGTTTGACATCAGTTGGCCAGGAGAGGTCTGTCACAAAATAAGGTCAGACTATGACAACTCTTTACTGGCCGGATATGGCCCTTCAGCATTGTGTGAGAAAGAAGAAGAATGAAAAGATCTATTTTTGGGTAAGACTGGGTTAATTTAGAAGAGGAATGTGGCCACTTGTCTGGGGCAATGAGGAGGTGGGGAATATGTCACTGTAAATCAAACAGAGAGATAGTTGACAATAAGATGTACAAAACTAATTTAGGAATAGAGGGGTGTCATAGGCAGCCTTATGTGGCAAAATCTAACTTGAGCAGGGAAAGGGTTAATTGTCAAGATAATCTGGCAGAGAGAGAGAACAAGCAATAGACTTGGTTAATTCCCTGTAGCAAATGAGGACGTTTTGGGGGAATTAGAGAATAATTGTTTTAAATAGTTCTACTATTGGGTGCGTGGAAGAACCAAACAGTGAAAGAGAGTGAGCTGGGCTATGAAAGAAAGGGAACTCATAAAGGCAATAGTAATGAGAGAAGCATCACCCAGGAAGGTAGTAGATAGATATTAATGTAATATTTACTATAAGCTTTATCCGTATTGACCTGTTAGAAAGACAAATACACAATAATATTATCTCTATTAGAAAATAGTCATTCAGGTCTATCTATTCACACCAAAGCCATTCCCACAGACAGGATAAAGTACAAGTAAAACATAGGACAATAAACATACAAAGGAATCTCAGTTTTTTTTTAAAGCCATGAACTTACCGGTACAGGTAAAGCGAAGGAAATGGTCCATGCAGCTGCAAAACAGCACTAGAACCTTGGTCAGCTCCATGATCGTGATATGAGCTATCTCTCTCTATCTCTTTGTTTCTTCATTCCTTGCACATTGAGAGATAGCTGTATTTATACACCCAATGAGGGTGAACCAGAAAAAAACCCTTAAGAAGCCTGGACAATCTCTACACACACAATGGGCTGAAACCAATGTACATTTATATTGACCTTTTAACAGTTACATTTACATCTAAATATATTTTTTTATTAAAAGTCAAGGAACCAGTTTTCCAAGTATAGTTTCTACTGCAGTAATCCTGTATGTTAAAAAAATATTTTCTCATGTATCAAAAGAAAAATGTAATATTATGCACAAGTTATACATATGTTACTTTGCAAATAATTTCCAAAGGTATTCTGCCTATTTATCTTCTGCCCATGTTACCTCTGCTTTGTCTTAGAACTTGTATTTTCAAACTCATAAAAGCTGCAAAAGTTTATTTGTGTGTAGCATTATTCTTATGAAAACCATGAACTCTAATAGGGAATATTTTGCCAATTAAATGGCATTGGCATTTTTGGACTTTAGATTGATTTGTATTTGCTACCTAATGTGTGTGTGTATATATATACAGAGAGAGAGAGAGAGAGAGGGATATTTAGTTTAGTATGCTTCTCTCTCTCTCTCTATATATATATATGTATATTGAGAAGCATACTAAACTAAATATCCGTCTCTCTTTCTTTCTCTCTCTCTCTCTCTCTTTCTCTCTCTCTCTCTCTCTCTCTCTCTCTCTATATATATATATATAGAGAGAGAGAGAGATTTAGTTTAGTATGTTTTTTTAAAATGCACACACAAAACTGCAATGTCAATTTCAATACAATAAGTGTAAGAATATTTAGTTATGACAGTGAGATAAACATTTATAGTAAGTTTTAAAAGATTTGAATCGCGTAATGACATAGAACACGCATGGGGGCATCCACGTGGTGTAAGCACAGGTGTGGCGATAATGAAGAGAGGAGGTAGAGTTACAGTGTATGTGAAGACGACGAACTGAGGCGGGAAGTAAGGAAAAGAATACCCGAGAGAGGCCGAGAGATTTGGGTCAGAGAGCTCAGGTTGATCTGCTGGAAAATAATAAATTGGATAATCCGGCAGACTGTTTTCAGGAGAGTCGAGCTGCCGCCCTTGTTGGAGTGTTAAGCAATAGGATGAGAGACCCATAAGTTAGAAATTTCTGGGAGACGAAGCATGCCTCTGATTGCAACATGCGGGGGCCCCGTGGCAGATGAGCGGAAGCATAATATGGCAGTGCTCCCACTCTGGGTCCAATATAGCTCCCACAGCAATATTTAAGCTTTCCTTTATATCATACTATATACACAGCAGAAATATTTAAAAATAAATTGGCAAGCACAGGAAACTAGATTTGTCTTTTCACAAGAAAGAGAGACTGTATTATCGCAAAGATGCAGTTTAGCAGAGTGAACTCCACTTCGGGTTAACATAACTTTGATACAACATAAGGCAAACAACTAAAAGGCCCAGGAACTTTCCTCTTTGCCACTGGACTTAGCAGAGAAACAAATATAAATTGGCATCTAAAGAATGAATCATAGATCAACTTTGTTTATACAACGCTTCCACTACGTTCTACCAGAAGCAGATAAGTAAAAGGAGTAAAAATTACAATCACAGTAATAAATCAGAAAGGAAGTGGTCTGCTTATTTTCTATATTTGTTATCTAAAGCCATTGCACTTTATTCCTAAATGCTAGTATCCAATTGTATACCTTGATCGAATTGATACATACTGATATATATTGGAAATATACACCAAGTAATATTCAGCAGATTGAGTCACAGTAAATTCTAAGGACTGAATGCATATGAATGAAAAAATCTAATCTAAAGGAACTCTCATTAAGAAGATAGATTTGTGAAAAAGAATTAACCCTTTGATACTAGATATTGACTCTGTACATGGAAATTCTGTTTATGCTTATTCCAATTTAAGTTAAGAACAAATTAGTTTTTGGGGCAGAAAAGGGTGTGAGGAAGTGGAGTGGTAACTTGAAACTAGGAAAGTAATAAAGGAGAATTGTGAGATATAGGAGTATACAAACTTCATCTATACAGATAGATTTGTGTGGGTTAATTTAAAGAAATTTCAGTGGAGTTGAAGTGGGATTATTATAATAAATTCAAGTATTGAAATATTAAATTAAGGAAAAGAGATAACTATACGCACAAATGGAATATCACTTTTTTGTAAAAAAATAAATAAATTATGAAATAAGACCACAGGATAAATATTAACTAGGATTTCAATCACTGAAGGAGTAATATGAGATTGCATATAAGGCAAATAGGATTGCACTGCTATTTATGAGCATAGTATACATCACTTGGGAATAATATGAATTAATAACTCAGGATATTTCTATTAAGGGTACACATGAGTAATGTATTTTTTTATTTTTTTGTATATCTAGTCCAACTAATCAAAAATATTATTAGAATGTATAATAGTAAATCAAGATTAAAAATGTATCATTAGCAATGTTAATAACAGCTGTATTAGAACAACTAATATAGTATTGAACCCTAGAGTTAATAGTATTCATTTACTGTAAACTTTTGATGATAATATGAAAATTGGCATTTGATAAATGGTAAACTGGAAAGCTTAGTCAGGACAATTTAAATTTCTACCAAAGATCAATCTAGAAATGTAGTCATTATCACCACCAGCGTTTGTGTAACCCTGGAAAGGAGTATGTATGAATCTCAGGGGAACCGCCAGATAGGTTGTACTCGAAGACGGAGGATTGTACTTATTTTATGTATATATGTTATGTGTTTTTTTTTGTAATTATGTATGGGTTTATACTTTAAGGTTGCCTGTTGTGCTAGGGGGACTGGAGAGAGATGAGAGTGTACGCAACTTGTTAGATGCAGAGGCGGTTTTGTATAGGAAATCACAATTAAGCAATGTCAATTAAAATATCATCTATAAATGCCCAGGGGTTAAATAATCTTATCAAGAGAGGTATATTATATAAGTAATGAATAGATGACAATATAGATGTATGTTTTATACAAGAGTCTCATTGGAAAGACAATACCCAAGATCAATGGAAATTTTCCAAATGCCCAACTGTTATATGTGCAAACTTGTGCAAACAAAAAGAGGGATAGCATCATCTGTTCAATTAAAATTACGTTTGAACTAATATTTGAAGAGAGAGATCCTAATAGTAGATATTTTATAGTAATATGCAAATTAAACAATAGGATATATACCTTGGGAAATGTAAATGCTCCAAATTAGTTTTTTCAAAAATTCGATAAAAAGATATACAGCAAGATTGACAAAATCAAAAAAAGGTAAACTCCTGATAGGGGAAGACTGGAATACAATCTTAAGTGAAAATGGGAAAGAAAATCAGATACAGTTTGTAAAAGAATGAAAGTCTACAAAATATAGGCTGAATGTTTGCAAGATATCGTTAATCAATACGATCTTTTTGATATATGGAGAGTGCAGCATCCTAATGAAAAAGATTATACTTTTTATTCTAAAATCCATAATAGTTACTCTCGAATAGATTTTATTATAGGTCTTATTACATGGACTGATCATGCTCCAAGTGATGTCAAAATTAAAAATGATTTGGCTTATAAAATCAGCTATCAGTGAAGAACAGATGAGACAATTTTACTTAATAAAGAGAATAGAGACCATTTAGAATTATAAGCTAAGGAGTTCATTGAATTTAATGATAAAGGTAATGTTTCTAATGAAATTAAATGTGTAATGAGAGGCTACCTAATCCAACTAGAAGCTAAAAAAAGGGAGCTAAACTATCAGATTTATACATAAAGTTGGATAAAAATGAACAAATTAATAAAATAAAAAAAGTCTAAAGAAATAGCTAATCAAATTAAAACAATTCAACTACAAAAATTTTTTTCTTGCGGATAGGGTAAAAAAAATGGTTATGTCCTGTAAACAAAAATGGAATAGAAGTAGTAATAAAACAGGGAAGTTATTATCGAAAAAACCAAGAAGAGAAAAAATCAATACAAATAAATTATAGAGGGTGATAAAATCCTCCTTTCTCCCCAACAAATAGGGAATGCTTTTGTCAATTACTACACATCCTTGTATAATTTACCTGAAACCAAATTTACTAAATATGAGCTTAATTAATTCTTTAATAAAGTCACTCTTCCTTTAATCAAGCCAGATAAATTAATAGAACTAAATAACGATATAACGATCGAAGAAATTAAGACAGTAATAAAAAATCTGGTAAATGGGAAAGCGCCTGGCCCAGATGGCTACAGTGCTCATTTTTACAAGATATTTGAACCTATAATATCCCCTATGCTATATAAATGGTTTACTGAATTGAATCTTGCAAAAAACATTTCTCCAGAGTTAAGTGCTACAATATCGCCTATTCTTAAACCAGCAAAAGATACAAACTTTATCACCAACTACCTCCCGATCTCCCTTATAAACTTAGATATAAAAATATTATCTAAAATTTTATCAAATAGACTAAGCAAAGTTATCCCTGAATTATTAAACAACGATCAATCGGTGTTAGTAAAGGGAAGATCGGGAGGGGATAATCTTCGGAAAATTGCTAATATAAACTTGAAGCTTAATAAAGAAAAGATACCAACTGTTTTTATTGCTGTCTACGCTGAATAGGCATTTGACAAAGTAAGTTGGCAATTTTTAGATGAAACATTAACAGCATTTGGAATTGTAGGTACTTTTAAAGATCTAGCTATGTCATTATACACTTATCAGAAGGCAAAAGTATATGGTAATGGTTTGAATTCACACTGGTTTGACATTAGGAATGGTAAATGTCAAGGGTGCCCTTTGGCGCCTCTGATGTACGTTTTTTCTATCGAACCTCTTGTAGCATATATCAGGAAATCTAAAAACATCTCAGGAATATTAACAGGAGAGAGTGAGCAAAAAAAATTATGTTATTTGCAGATGACTTAATATTAGCTCTTATCCATCCAGAGACTTCTATCCCCTCAGTAATGGAATGCATAGATAACTTTAGCTGCCTAACTATAAAAAGATTTTACAAAAAAACTCAAATAATATACTGAAATTTAACTCAAGACCAAGTAAAAATACTTAAGCTAAAATATAAATGTATTTGGGATTCTCAAACAATAAATTATCATGGAACTATAATTAACTTAGATATAGAAACCTGGATAAATTAAAATTATCTTAAATTATTTAAAGATTTGAAAGATCAGATTAAACAATGGGGGAATACAATACTTTCCTTGATGGGCAGTCTAAATACGATAAGGGCATATTTGATGCCCAAACTGGAATACCAAATTAAATATTGAATCTCTTTGACAAGTTATTCTACTCTTTTGTATGGTTAGATAAAAAAGCAAGAATTAATAGGAAAATAATGTCAACACATCAATGAGAGGGAGGAAATTGATACCTGGATAATCTTTCAAATATTTAAATCAATTGACTTTATAAAAAAGTTATTTTATGCTCAACACCAAATTTCTTGTAAAGCCCCACTTGAAATGATTAGACTGTTCATAAAAGATCTCAACTTAACTAAGTGGTTGGAAAAAGGAATAGTAAAAATTGGTCAATTAGGATCTAATATATCTCCGAACACCTTTTTTGATTTGCAACAAAAATACTGTTTGCCCAACAATAAATAATTTAC